CTGGCCATCGATCCCATATTTTCGCAGGAATGAACATAGTTTGTTGCCCGGTGTTTGGTCAAAGGCTTTCTCTAGGTCTAGAAGGCACATATGCACCGGATGGGCGACCTCCCTGTATTGCTCTACAAACTGCCGTAGGGCGAATATCTGATCAAAGGTTCTTCGGCGAGGCCGGAAATCACGCTGTTCCTCTAGTATTTGGAGTCAGTTATTCTGCGCTAGCTCTTTTCTAGTGCTTTTACGCACGCATACCTTATCCTGGAGGCTAAATAAAATAATGCTAAAATAATTGGGTCAAGATTCAATAAGATAGTGTCCCTGCCCCAATAATTAGAGCACTCCGTTCTTGAGCCCAGACACTAAAACTCCCGTTCTTCAGTCTACTGGTGTCCCCGTAATCGCTGCCATTTGACAGACACGTGCAAGTAAGTACGTGCCCTGCTTGTATAATGCTTCAAACATTCCACGCCGGGTTTCATAGAATTCAGGAGCCTTTCAATCTTTTTAGCTTTTCACAGCTTGTGTGAATTCGTCTGAAGAGGTACTGACAACTTTTCCTAGCTGCTCTTCAGACGAGTCTCTGCGGTATCTCGAGGTTCAGGGACTCCTAGAAATACTCTCTCCATCGCCGAATAATTTCCTCATCATCGGTAAGAGAGTGCCCATAATTATCTTTCAAGAATCTTAGACTGCCCTTCTTTACGCCTTGGAGGCGGCGGATGACCTGCCAGAATGGATTGTCTACCGTAAGACAATTCGACTCCAACAACTTATCGAACATCTCCAACGAATCAGCTTTGGCCTTTGCCCTGCTGTTATCGCGCCCTTGCGTTTCTTATATCGTATACGAGTTGAAGGCTCTTTGCTTCCGAGCCATCTCATGAATGCAGCCTTCTCGGCGACAGCCAGTTCACCAGAAAGTTTTTTTCTTACCTGCAGGCGTCAGGTATACCCGTTTGAATCCGCAGCATTCGTTGGCAGCCCCTAGTACGCCACTCTTATAGAGCTTTCATTCGGTTTCCAATCAGTGATCATTCACGGAATTCGTTCAAACCGATGTGCGATGTTGTTTGCAAATTTCGCTCTCTTATCCACCGAAGATAATGTTTTCCATTTGATTTTCTGGTCACTTTTGCCACCAGATCCTCGTATGATACTCCATTTCTACAGGGAGGCGTGCCAACAACAAGGCGGTGATCGGTTGATAGCCCTGCGCCTCTCGTAAGGCGAACATCCATTACTGAGCGCGTAAAGTCAGATGATATGATTATCAAATGGATCATCGATTTCTATGCATAAGCTTCCTGGTACCAGGTATACTGATGCACTCTTCGATGCTCTGTAAAGGTGTTCGTAATGGACAGTCGATTGTTTGCACAAACCGCAGCAACTTCATGCCTTCACTGTTGAGGTCGCTAGGGCCGTTTTTTCTAACCACGTCGTTCTACTTTTCAGCTTCTACTCTGGCATCCGCATTATAATTGCCCATAAGTATGATGAGCTCTGTATTCGGCACTTCGGACAGAGCTAACTGCACTTCCTCAAGAAAGTTAACATATTCTCCCTACAAGTTGGGGGCATAGACATGTACCAAGGTCATCGATTTAGCCTGTTGCAGCTTCAGTCAGAGGATTACCCAGTTCCGCTGACAGGCTTTCAATCAGTGACTCTATCTGCGAGGTTGAGTTCTATCAGAACACCAACATCGGCCTGAGCGCGCGTCGTGATATCGGCACCTGAGTAGAATAGCTGCCACCCGCTGAGGTTCAGGATTCCAGAGCCTTGATGCTTCGTTTACGGGAGTCCAACAACGTCGAGTTGGTACTTTATGGCCTCATCAACTAACTCTCGTTCTTTCCCTCTGAGTGAGTATATGTTCCAGGAACTGAATGTAAGCTCTCAATGTACCGCGGGTGGGGTCGTTCCCATGGAGACATTTGTACGTGTTAAAAATAAATGGTGCTGTCTACGACCTCCTTTCGGAAGAGATAGCGACTCCGTTAGTGGCTAATACCTTAATCACTGCTTCGTCGATCATCGGTGGCCGTTGTTTGTATGCTATGCCCCCTGCTGCCAGCAAGCGATGAGCAGGGTTCTGTTGCCGAATTTGCGCCTCTTGTCTCAGTCTCCAAAGAGCCTGCCCTGCCCGTAGTAACCTGGGCGACGGCCGAACCGGTATGATTCTCGATTACGGCCATGCCAAAAGGAACAGGTGATTAAGTTTTACGGAGACTTCGCTACGACCTCAAATCTCCTTCCTTTTCATCCGGGCTTTAGACCGCGAACGGCGGAGTTTAATGTTCTTTTGTTCAATTTATTCTAGATATCTGTTTTACTGAAAAGAGAGATTGTCTAGCGATCCTATTCTGGTTGCAAGTTTCTCCATCGTTATCGTTCATCATGATTGTGGTAGCAAATTCGAAGGTCGAGTGTTGTCGAGAGTGACAGCCCTTAGTTTTTACGATTACCACATTATTCGCCTCTTTCGATCAAATGCTTGAGAAATTGCCAAGACTTTAGCGGAATAAATCAATACTTTATGAGATAATTGTTCATGTTGATTCGACAACGCTTTCAGCCTCGTCTTGCCACCGATCTGAAAGTCTCACATTCCCGCAGGCCGTTTATTGATTCTTGCAATTCGGTCTATCGTCAGTTCATTTTGAAACAGGTACTATGTGTTACCATTTCAGCTTTATGACTTGTGCAATGGCCCCACGAAATCCTGTTTGTCCTATTTATAACATATCATTATATTTCAATATCATATCGGATTCACTGCAACCAGATCAATGCAATGTATTATTGTAGCCTCGATAAATGGTCATAATGGTTATAGAGACAGGAAGATTATGGAAGTTCGTTCACTAAATCCGTTTTTTAACAGTTTAGCTGTAGAAGGAAAGTTTTGTTCTTCGAATACTTTTAAGTTAGGGTTTTAGAATGCGAGGAATCAATGTTGGCTCCTGTTCCGATGCATGGTCAACAAAACGATATATCTGAGGATGGTCAATTGTGTTTGCATTAAACAGAAATTTGGCAAGTTGCTCCCACCTGGGTTAGTTAAAAAACGGCCATAAGTACTTAGCAAATGACTACATTTTGAGAAGAATAAGCCACATTAAGGCATTTTTTAGAATTGAAAATTTGTGCTCGAAGGAAACACTGTGGTTCAGTGGCTATTTATTGACCGTAGGCGTTGATAGTTCGATAACAGCAGACTAAAATAGCCTTATATAACAGACTTAAATAACCATGTATTTTCTTCAGCGCCTATGTCATTGTTCATTCCGTATCACCCACATCACTAGGCAAAGCCGAATAAAACTTGTTCGAACAAACTATGTTATTTCCTTACCGGCGGTATCATAAACCAGTATATTTATAGAAATAGTGTTTATTTGTTTACAAGTATGTCTACGGATAGGGGCATTTAGGCGGCTGTCTTAACAGCTTTTGGTTCTGTTGAGTGATTCGGTTTTGCATAGATGTGCTGTAGGTGGTAAGGTACCATGAAGCCGTAAATGGTACTGCTTAAATAGTCTTCTAAGTCACTAGAAGCAAGGGGGCAGTCCGCCTACGCAATGTAATGCGTATAATGATGGCGTCCGGAGCAAAGACAAATGTAAACAGAAGAAATCAATCGTGAAACAATGGAAAACAAATCTAGAAATAAAAGATAGCCGAAAAAATATGAAGCGTGAACAAACAACACAATATGCATTCAAAAAAAATATGTATGAATACCCTCATGGAAGAGCGCATTTGAAATTGGAATCGGCGACGAGACTGAAGCCACAGCGCTGGCATTCAAACGAAGTGTCAGTGGTTACGTAAAATTTATTGGCTGATTTGTTTCCTGATTTTTATGACTGGACAATATTAATATTAACTTTAGAGTATTACCTTGCTTTGCAGGAAAAAGTAAAATTAATTCAAGTCGCGTATCCCTTTATACCTCATTAGTTGTAACCTGCTAATCGTTTCTAACGATAGTGATTCGGATACGAAACAGTTACCTATTCTCTATGAACTTGAATTGAATGTTCCCTCTGTTTTTGGTTGCACGCTTTGGCGGCAAAAAGTAACCACTGTTTTGCTGTTCAGAGTTCTTTTGCTGGAACGTTCATTTTGTGCATTTGATTATGTGACATTTCATAGTTTGCCTAAACGCTGTTCGATTAACTTGTTGTTGCGATCGTCATCTAAAGTATCAGGGTAAGGACCGAGTACTCAGATTAATGATGCCTGACGCTTCAACTCCTGAGAATGATTTAGGCGATATTGGTTGCTGCGGCAAAGGCGATCTTTATCGTTTCAGGCAAGTCCGTTTCTAGCAGCAGCTGTAATGTGCGATGTTGGCTTCCGACGCACATGTGGCCACTTTTGCTTCCCAGAAGAAAATGGACATACGTTTTGGATAAGTCTGAATTCTCTGTCCGGATGGTTCTGTAGAACCACGGCAGACGCCGGTCCCTTTTTCTAGAGACAGCATTCTCAGGCCGATCATCTCCAATATCTTTCCTTTTGTCACTCGATCGAACCATCGCACTTTCACAATATTTCGCAAACAGTGCTGCCGAGAGTGGCCAACATCTGTTCATGGCGCATTAAAAGGGTTGATGCTTCAAGGTTGTACAGCAGGATTGAGCAGATGCGGCTTTCAGTTTGCTGATCTTTGTTGCTACCTGGATAGGTCGAACTTGCCACGCCCGAAGTTCAGATGCCGGCCCTAAGCGCATCTCTACTTCCGTATCGCAGCTTCCATCTCTTGCTAGTACAGAGCCGAGGTACTTGAAGTTTTCGACCTCCTTGATGGTTGTTCCACTCCATTGAAGCTTTGGGTTGTTAGTGGAGCCAAGTGCTCGCAAGAACTTTTTGGTTGGGTTATCTTTTAGGCCTATTGTCCATGCCACGTTGCGCACTTCTCGAGTTAGTGCAAGTAAGTCTTTGCCAGAGTCGCTCAGTAGTACAGTGTCGTCCACGTACTCAACATTTGTTATGAGTGCTGAGTCGTCATCGGATAAAAATTCCCTCGCTGTTGTTGGGGACAATGCTCCTTCGCACCACATAATCCACCATCATGTTGAATAATAGGGATGAAAGCACCTCCCCTTTGGCGCACTCCACTGTTGATATTAAACTAGTCCGACAACGACTCTTCTGCTCTGATGGCGACTTTAGTACCTTCGTACAGTCTCTTCGGCAGACCGATGATCTGCTTTACTCCATAGTGTCGCACCAAGCGACGTAAGGACTGACGGGGTACCGGGTCGAAAGTTTCTCGAAAGTCGAAGAATGCTACATGCTAGAATAGTTGGAAGCTCCTTCCCTGTGCGATTATCTTCAGTATGACGAAGTTATCCGTAAAAGAGAGTCCAGGCTGGTTGACTTACTACAAATACAATAAAAATATAACGATCAGCGAAGCCTTCTTCGGGATTTAAATAACTTTAGCTGTAAATTTTTATAGATTTGAGACGGTGACACACAAACGAGTAACTAGCTTCAACATCCGGATAAGCTGATGGGTTCGAATCCGAAAAAATTCAAACACCTGATTCCCTTTTTGCAAGAAGCCCAAAGTTTCTTCGGCGCAATCAGCCAAGAAACTGATAGAAAATCTTTAATTTGCGAACCACGGGGTCAGCATAGTGTTCTGGTGTAACCATAGGATGGCCGAAAGGTACGGCTGTGCTGCTCGACGCGAACACCTTGACAATCACCTGTTGGCCTAGTTTCTAGTTTCACCTGATCGCTGATTCTCTGGTGTCAGAATCACTACGTGTATATTCTCCGTAGGTGTTGTAGATGACCACAGTTATGTTTGTGACCTGAACAGCAGATGGCCTTGTTATCATATCAGATTATCCCCCCCTTTACTACTCTGTGTTTAGCAACTTAATCAAATCGTTGCTGTTGTTCATGGTTAAAGGTTTTATTTCGCAAGTAGTGCGCTTGTTGCTGCCTTCGTAGAGTTAGTTCGATTTTCTGATTTACCTATGCATTTTTTGAAATATTTGACTGATAATTGAAGTTTTCGTTTC